ACCTGCACAGGACCTCTCTTGCTCAGCAACAGCAACCTTCAAAGGTTTCTTTATGAGCTGTGAGGGTACAGCAATAGCAACCCTGGACTGGCCACAGTGAAAGTGGAATAAACTATGTCCCTCTCACCCAAGTACCTCGAACTGGGGTACAGATGGATGCCAGCTCCTGGAGAGGGTGGTATTGGAAAGCTCAGCTTCCTGTTAAAAGCTTTTGCTCTTCTGCTTCTGAAGAGAAAGAAACCAGGAGATCTGCACTTACCTGAAAGGACAAAATACAGAAGGGAAATATGACACCCAGTCTCCACAACCATTTTGTTGGGGTTGGCAAGGCAAAGCACAAGACTTGGCTGCTATTAACAGCCTCCCGCATCTTTGCCAGTCACAAGGCTACCTTTACCTTTTCTCTGATGCTTAATGTGATGATAATGACTGAAGAAATTCCCATATCCCTCCCGCCCCAGAAAGTCTTTGGTGCTCACAGGAAGGTCCTTTTCCCAAGACTCAAAGACACACAGATTTGATGAAAGTAAGAAAACCAACCCAGCTGAAGCCAGGCACATGCAGCTACTTCAAATACAGTTCATACCCCTGCATCTGGCTGGTCCTTGAGCCTTGACCCCCCAAAAAATTTTAATTTCACTACAGGCACCTGCACTGAATAGTTAGGCACCACTGGCATCACCGAAGACTTCCTTCAGGCCTTGCTTAACAAAACGGTCCCACACTTGCCTGCATTTCTGCCACCAAACACAAGCAGAGCCCTCAGCCGGAGTGGTGGTGAGCTTCTCAGTATCGACCATCCTCTTGCCTGTTTAGCAAACAGGACCAAGCTAGCAAATGCTTCCCTGGATGTATCATTTCAGGCTGTGGGAGAGCAGAGAGGATAACATTGGTGGTATTATCCAAGTGGTAGCATTATCCGCATTGACAGGGGTTAGAAAAGCTAGCTGGCATGCAAGAAAATCCAGGTTCAGGTCTCTAGGGAAGATAACATAAGCATAACCCAAATTTTTCCATTGCAGTGCTGTGTGTAATGAATATTTAAAGCAGAACCACTGCAGTGGCAGACAGCGAGTTCCATTTTTAGAAGTTTAACTTCTAAAACTTAAGTCCCATCTCCCTCCAGCATCCAGCGATGAACTCTGTTGGTCTCCCTTTTAGCATGCTTGCTTTGCCTGGGAAGCATCTGAGCTTCCCCTTAGAGAAAAGATCCGTGTTTGGCATGGATCTGCCAAAAGTGACCCTAGGGTAGAAAGATGAGGGGAAGACTATCATGAAAGTCAGTGCAGAGATCCTATCTGTCAGCAAAGATGCTGACTCCAGCAAGAAACCCTGTTGCAACCCATAATTTCTACCACCCGGGCAGGAAAATGCATCATCTCTGCAGAGTGAAAAGCCGCCTGCTTTGACTGCAGCAGGTATACAGTGGAGCAAGCCATGGAACACAAGAGAAACCTTCTCTGTGTGCTGACTGGGATGGATCACAGTAGCTCCAATCCCAGAATATCTCCTAATCCCACTTCTCAACCTGCTGCTCTAGGTATTGTGCAACAGAGCTTGAACTGCTGTCTTGCCTCTGGGGTTTACCCCATCCCTGGCAAGGGCATCCCAGCTGCAGACAACTAACAAGAAAATCAATCAGCTTTAACATCTTCTGCCTGGTTCTTACCCTTCACTCACACTACAATGCCCCAGCTATGCACTTTTAACCCCAAATTTGTTCCAGATTGAAAGCCTTTGCGGCGGACGAGTCATAGGCAGTAAATCCACTTTTCAGACAGTGGTGTCTATTGAGCGATTCCCCTTGATGTGTCGCTGCAATTCACTGTCTGTCCACCTGCTGCTTTTCTGCCTACTAACATGTGTGTATCAGTGGTTGCAGTGCATGCTACTACTCACCTGTGGGAAGGAGAGAAAGGAGAAGCAGTTTAAAAAGAGGAAGACCATGCAATGCAGTGAGGAGACCCAAGGATGCCTCCATATGCCTCACCAGCCTATTTTGAAGAAATATTGGATTTGCCATAATTTCCTGAAAGCTGAAAGAAATCCAACCCTCTGGCAACAAGCAAAGGCAAGTAATGGACAAGTGAAATGTTTGGGTTTGGATGAAGGCTCTGGGCTGCTTTCTACTATTTTTGCCTTGTGCTTACTCTCTGGAGCAAGGGGCCCTGCAGCCAGGGCAGAGCCCCTCTGTGCTCCATGTGTGCAGGTGGACAGCAGGATCTCCTTACGTGACACTTCAGCTGCTCCAGGGAATGGCAGCCGGGGCAGGTCCTGCTTTCTGCTGGAGCCCCGGTTCTCTGAGGGTGACTTTAGGCTGGGATGGCAGTTCCTGGATAGCAACATGGGCTGCCCCAGTGAACTGACTCCCTTTAAAGCAGTGCAGAGGGCAGCTGCAGGACACTTCTAGTGTCCTCCAAAAATAAATCCCAGCATCACCTGCACAGGGCTAAACTCTGCTGTTGCAACCTTAACCCACAGCAAAATCCACTCATTTTAAAGTTAAACTTGCTGATTTAACAACTTGCATGATGCTGATCTGGGTAGATCTACAATAAGAAAAATCCCAAGTGACACTTCCTGTTTTAAGAGTAAACTTCTCTATCTTTTACAGTAACACCCCAAATCAGCACCAGAGGGTCCTACAGCTAAACACAGACAAAGATGTCTTGTGAGACATTAACGTAAAACGAAGGCATGGACAGTCACCCTTCCTCACAACATCCCTTCCACTTCCATACATACCAGAAGCACAGGCATTTGTCTGCCACTGGTGTAGTCACCCCAGATTAAAAAAAAGACGGCAAGACAAAGGCTGGTTGAGGCAGTAGCAGAGTTTTGTTAATTCGTGCCAGGCAGCAGCAGTGGCAGCAGCTCAGTGCTCAGCCTTGCTGACTGCTCTTAGAATAAACCAAAGCCATGGTTCCAGCGAGAAGGTTACCACAGACCCCTGCCATAAAAGGAGTAGATTGCTCTTAAAATCTAACTGATGCAGATGACAAATGTAAGAATGGCTAAATGAGAAACAGCTCTTGCTTGGCTGATTTCCGATGCGGGCCTCTGCTGCTACTGAAAAAAATCCCTCTTAACAACCCAGAGAAAAATGAGAATCAGCTGAATATCTTTTCTTAGATGGCCAGTTTCTGCATTCCCACTCAAGTTGGTCTGTTTTGCTGTTGGCTCTACTCTTGGCATGAAAGTGTCCCTGAGGTACCGAACTGGGCATGAGGGACAAGTGTGGGTTTAGGGCTGCTAAATCTTCAGCTGGGAAACCACACTCACGAACACAGAACTTGCACCTTGCTGAATAGCATACTGTTATTCAAGCAGGCAAAATTTAAAAAGTGACTTCCCTAAGCTAGCACTCAACTAATGGCAAACTGGTGTAAGCTAGCAGACTGAGTCTGGTCTTAGTGTAATTAAAATGGAGTCAGATCTAGTTCTTCAGAGCCAAGATCTAGCTAACAAGCCTGCTTTAGAAACAAATCTATAATAAAGCAGCTGCCTCCAATGTGTGGGAGGGTACAATACCTCACAATATTTTTTTTCCATAGGAAAAGGACGTTGGAGGAAGAGATGGAAGGTGGTGATCAACATTTTAACTTTCAGATAAGTAGTTGCCTCTCCCTCACAAATCATCCCCCCTTTGGGGACATCTGAAGTGATCAGGAAGAGTGAATATTCTTAAAAACTAAGGGAATCTTAGATTTATAGTCTTGATATAGATATCAAGTATTTCCCAACTCTTTTGAAGAATGGAAACAAAGATAACTCGCTTCCAACTTCCCTGCCCTTTGTTTCACACATACATGTCCAAACAGAGGCAGAGTTTGCTACACATGAGTTGAAAGTTTAAGGTTTATTAGAAAAAACACTTGATCTTTGATAGCATTGCATATTTTACACATCCGGTTAAAATGCTTTTTATCACTGTCATTCAAATTCTTAATTTGTTAATGACTTCTTCATGCAATCTTTGTAGTTAACGCACTTGTACACACAGAATGAGTACCCGTAATGGAAGGTCATCTTACCGAGAGGCAGAGAGCCTGTTCAGGAAACATTACCTGTTTGCACTGGAAAATCACAGAAGCGAATCACATCAAGAACTCTAAACAGATCACTTGTTTTCAATGGCTGAAGGGCCAATGCAGTTTATTGAGGAAATCCCTGAGATTACACAGAGCATTGAGCTCCTTTCGAATAAGTAGGAAAACTGACATGGTAGGATAAGTTTTAAATTTCTTGGATTATAAAGCTTACACAATGTTTGTATCTTTCACATTAAAGGACAAAATTATGCTGTAAAAGTCAACATCTATTGCGCCATGCTTTGAAGGTGCTTAAAACAGAGGAGTTTAAATTAAAAGTATCTGTAGGTAGATCAAATCTATTTTCTTGAGGGAATGGGGAAGGCACTGGAGTAAAAAGCCCTCATTTACCTTACTCAGTTCCTTTCAGAAGTATAAAATGGCATCAGTACTTTGGAGAATCTAATCAGAGGAAGAGGGGAGGAGAGAGGAAACTGATAGCAGTGTGTAGATGTCTTCTAACAAGAGATTGTAGGATTGGTAATGGATGGTACCACGATGAACCACACAAAGGTGGCAGCACTTGTCTGACTTGTTTGATGGTTGATCACAACCCAGTGGTTCTTGATTGTATACTTTGATATTTTCTCCCAGTCTGCATTTCAATATCCATCCACAGGAGTAATGGCAAGCATCTCTACTGAGAAAGATACCTAAAATCACTATCCATGGGGCTAAATGTTCCAGGGTTGGAGATGCCTTTGTGTCCACTGAAGAATACTTCAACATCAATATGATCTTTAAGAAAGTGTAATTGTACCCATCAGAGTTAGCCATGCAACACTCCAACCTTTCATGGAAAAAAAAATACATAGCCACTAATCATTCAGGGACCAGATTGCAGTAAGATCCTGTGTGTTCTTTGATTGAAGACTCCTTCACCTTGAAGAGTTATGAATTCAGTCATGATTATTCTACTTCTTCCTGATCCAGTGAAGTCAAAGCCTTCTCCTGTAATGTTGAAAGAAAACTTACAATTATAAAAGCAATGAGGACCTTCATCCTAATTTCAAATCTGGTGAGGTCAGCCAATAGGATTTCCTAACCTCACATGCGATCTGTTTCAATGGTCATAGGCTGTACAGCTGCTGAATGTTCATTCATTTCATGAAGCACAAAAGGACCAGGCTGCCCAGAGAGGTTGTGGAGTCTCCTTCTCTGGAGACATTCAAAACCGACTTGGACGTGTTCCTGTGTTACCTAGTCTAGGTGATCCTGCTCTGGCAGGGAGGTTGGACCAGATGATCTTCAGAGGTCCCTTCCAACCCCTACCATTCTGTGATTATCTCCACTGCAAGTGCCTCACAGCAAACCCAGGCTGATGAGCTATGAAGGGCAGCAGGTCAGTAACACTACTGCCAAAAGAGCACCTTGCACAACTGACTCTGAAAGAGGGATACGAAGATAAACAAATGCCTTTGCGTACAGGGAAAGTGAAAGCATACCACACCATAAGGACAGGTTGTATGAGCTGCTGAACTACTGTGCTGTGGAGATGAATAGGATTAGAGCAAGCGTGAAGTTTCTTAGTGTTTCTCCCAGCCCTCAACTATTTGTGGTGGAGAGACTGCCTGTGCCAAGAATGCTGTTTTATACTTAACAACCCTCCATGGATGCCTCCTATTGATTTTTTGGACCTATGTAAATAAAGAACTTGTAGCAGAAGTTATCTTGTAGCAAGTAATTCCACAGCTGGAGTACATGCTGTGTTAGAGAATACACAGTTTGGTTTGGTTTGCATCTGGCTGGTGTTAGTTTGGTGAAAGTGTGCTGCTTGAAGGTGCCTTAGGCTATGCACAAGTCAGGGAAGGCAGAATGCATACCCAGCCACCCTGGTCCTGAATCCATGGCTTGAAGTGTTCTCTGAGGTACTTTGATCCAAAGCCCAACACCAGGTTCATAGGATGGTTGTCCACAGTGTTAAGTCTGGTGGCAACTTCCATTGTAAAGGCAACTTTCATGCATTGTACTTGGCCTCTTGGCTCACTTGTTGAATCTCCTGAGACATCCTCCAGGAACAAATCCGTGATCCTCTTGAAGGAGTTGTAGGACAGCATGTTTTGAAAATACTGATAGAAAATCCTGTCCTTTTTGATCTGAAAATAAGAATAAGGTTTGGTTAAACTGAGCCACTTTTGTTGAAATTGCTTTCCCCATCCCATTAGGAAAGGAAAGCATCTCTAGATAATACATGCAATATAGTCTAATCACGGTGTTTAATGCAAGAGATGACACACAAACCCCACACCTTCATACAAAGCTGTTCCTTCAGGCTCTGGAGGTGGCTTTGTTTTTTGCATTTGAATGCAAGAAGCAGAGAGAGACAAAGCAAAACAAGTATGATGCTATACTGAGACCTGCAGGTGAGGAGCCGTGGGAATACAGGAGGAGTGTGAGGATGACACGAAAGGCCACAGTTATAAGAAGCATGGCAACAGCAGCCATGCTAAGCTCCATTTGCTCAGCCATGGTCTTTATGATGCTTCTTACTCTATGTGGGTACTTTTCTGATGCAAGAGCTGAGCATGTCCTACATGTGGGGGTATACCTTTCTAGAACAGAAAGGGCAGGAAAAGGAGGGAGTAAAGGGAACAAGTGCCTATATTTCTAATGGAGAAAACACCCATTCCAATGAAAGGATGCATGTGGAGAGGGTTCTTCTATAGTTTTGGAGCAGGGCTTTCAAAATGCACTCAGAAGATTTATTTCCCTTTCTCTACATCAGCTCTCAAAGCAGTAGAGTTTCCCTCCCTCTGCTGATAACAACTTGTCTGCCAAATTTAATGTGAACATAGGAGTTTCTCAGAGTCAGTCAAGTGATCAACGTCCTATGAAACATAATGGGAATGATATGAGTGACTCCTCATTGAAATGCACAACCTTGTTGCCTTTCTCCCCCACCACAATAGAGACCTCTGCTAGTCCTCTGCTCTCAAGAAAGAGTGTGGGTGAACAGCAAAGTTTTCGGAAAGCCCTAGATGCAGAAAGGGAAGTTCAGGAGACAGAGCATGCTAGGTTACTAAACAATTGCTTCCAAGAGAAGTGTAATCTCTCTTTCACTCTCTAACCTGTGTAGCTCCTGGAAACAGAAAGAGTTACCTTTTCTTCTAGTTGGTCCCCTGCTTGTCGTAACAATGAAACTATTGTTTGTATTATCTTTTCTTCATCTGTTAAAAAAAGGAGTAACATAAATGTCACAGCCTTCTACTAGGATCCAGATAGCAAACTCTAGCAAAAGCCTTTGTGTCACTTAATCTTGAAAAGAGCAAAGTGGCAAAAGCAATTCTGTGGCAAAGTCACGGAGAGTTGTGTATCCAGGCTTTAAGCAGAAGCTCACTGTTCTAGTCTGTGTGGAGTAAGCAATGCTATTTCTCTATCTACCTGATGTTTTGTTCCACTTAAGAATCGGGGAAAGTGCAGGGGCTTTAACATCCCACTGCCAGCCCTTCGGGCTTTGATGTATGTGTGACAACAAGCCAGAACAAAAGAGCAGCTAGCCAAAGCCCTTGAAAATGGACTTAAAATTAGGAAAAAAAATCCCTTCATCATTACCAATTACACCTTCTACAACTCATTAGGACAGCTCTGGGTTTGCTGGATTAGAGAAACTGCAAGTATGGCAGAATCCCTCTTGTAACCAGATATCCTGGTCTCACTGGGGTAGAATCATAGAATCAAATTTCTATTCAGGAAAGCTGCGTTTTTGAGAAGACTGCAGCACACGACTTGGCAGGAGCAAAGTTGGTAAGACACTTTGTTGTAGTTTTTGGCCAGCACTGGTGTGCAGGTTGCCATAGAGATCAAGGTCTCACAAGCAGCTGTGAGTTAGCCAGGTGCAGAAGCTGTGAGGAGCAAAATCAGGACTGATGACCCACACTGGCCAACAGAATTACTTCATACCATAAATGTCACGCTCACTATGATTTGGAAAGTTTGCAAGGGACAGCCCTCTTTCCTCGATGGTCATCATCCCTGGAGGGTCTTGCCTGTTGTTCTGCTCCTGAGCCCTATTGCCCCGTTTGTTGTGACCATCACGCTCCTGCTGGAGCTGTGGTACTCGCAGTGTTTGTCATTGAGCGTTCACTGCTGGGAGCACACAGCCCACAACCGCTATATGGGCTGAGTATAACTTTGTGTATTTTATATTAATATTGGTACTAATATTAGTTTATTCTTTTATTAAATGTGTTTCCATTTCAACCCAGGGGTCTTCTCCTTTTCTTTTCCTCAGTGAGTGATAGAAAACTGCCTAAACAGAGACACCAGAAATCCCTAGAATCCTTGCATTAAACTAAACCTCTGCAGACGTCATGAAAGACAAACAGTTCAGACTTGGAGATTGTTGAACAGTGCTGTCCTGTCCCCAAAGAGGGATTGACTGAGACATTATTGCCCCCGGGACTGGTCTTTGGCCTTCGAGCCCTGGGGTATTAGTCTGCTCTTAGCCCTGCCACTCCTACTACTGCTCTGTCACTGTATGCCCCTTTACCTTCGTCCTTCTGTTTTCATGTCACACCTCCTTGGATCTTTCAGAATGTTCCCTTTAATTGCAGTAGCAGGCAGGATTTGGTAGAAGACTGCAACAAAGAGCAGTCCCTGAAATGTGGGCAACAGAGCAAAAACCAGCAGAGCAAACTTTCTCGTCCAGAGCGTCTCACTGCAGAAGTCCCGAGTGCTTCACCGTGTCTAGAGAAAGTGCCTCAGTGTCCAATCCCAACCTGACACACTGCCTGTGAGCACGATTTTCTGCATCCTTACCGAGTTCCTGGCCCTCAGTTCCACCAGCAGCATCGCTATCATCTTGTTTCTGATACGAGCCCTGAAGCACTGCCCTGAATGACACACGTGAAGGAAATTCCTGGGATCTGGAAGTAACAAGCTTGGCAAGTTTGTCTGCAATGTGGTTGACATCTGCTGTTTCTCCTGATTGGGAAGAAGAGTGAGAAATAAAGACGGCAATTAATCTTTTCAGGAAATAATTCAGTGATTTACTCATTTGCATGCTCCCTGAGGTGGAAGTGCCCAGAGGATACCAAGAGATACATTTCCCCATGCTGGGGCTTTGCTATTCCTTTAGATCAGCTGGTAATAATTTAGAGAGACAATTAACACAGTACAACCCCCTCTCTAGTATCTGAGCAGCAGCTACCTATACAGGGGCCATACAGAAGCAAGTGTGAGTGTTGCTCACTAGCATATATCCTTGCAAGCCAGAAGCACACCATATATTAAGAAATGTGAGAGTATTGTTCTATAAGACTGTGAATCTCAGACCTTACTGTGAGAGTGGTATTTCCTGCGATTAGTTAATCTATAGGTCCAGATTCAGAAATGATGGTGTATTTGGATGCTTTTTCCTTGTTCCCACAGGCTAATCCTGAGCAAAAGAGAGGCAGATTTCACTTCACAGGCACCTCTAGCATAAAGCTTCTTGTGTCCTTGGCACTGTTGCACTAAGCAGAAAAGAGTATCAGGAGAACTCAGCAGCCAGACTGGCTTTATCCACCTCATGTAATGACCCTGTCCAGGACCCTCACTGGCTGAAGGCATCCCTCGGTGAGGGGACTCCAACAGCGACCTTGCTACAGCAAAGAGAGTGGGAGGCGCTGCCACAAGGTTTACAGCCACCTGCCAGCTCTTCTTCCAGCACATGGGAAGGCAGGTTCAGGCTTCATATAATAGCAACGTCTAAAGGAGATTTAGATAACTCTGAAAGGCTCTTTCCATTTAAGATATATTATGGGGTTATAAGAGGTGGCCCAGAGACACGGGCTGCTCTGCGCTTGCGGGTGATTACTGCCAACTGCTTAGCACCAGAGTTTCAAGCAGAGTCTAGCACTTTGGTCTAGTGTGGAATATATACGGCATGATAAAGCTCCTTGAATGGGCTTTCAAAGAATTTCTCTTCCTTGATTTTAGTGCGGAGGTCTTCAGTATGGCCAGTGTTTTGGGATTTCTTTCTAACCAGGTATGAAAAAAAAAAAGCTAATTGCTCAGGAAAAGCAATCTGTACAGTTATACAACACTTATCATCATACAATGCACAGCAGAAAAGCCAGTCACTTCAGTGTGCAAGCACTACTGAAGATCTGGCAATCTGCCTTCCTAACTGGAAATCAATAGAGCTAGCATGAGAAATGACCAAAAAGTGAAAGAAACCGCCTTCCTCCTCCTGCCTTTCCACAGGCCACCAGCCATTTAATATATTTAGAGAGAGATTTAAAGACAAACAGCAAAATAAAATAACTAAGATGTACTTCTCTGATGTTGCGAATTCCTTTCTTGAAGGCCCTGACTTTGAAACTCAAAATCAAAAGAACGTGCCACGTGACCCTGGGGCAGTGACTGCATTGGGGACTTTTCCTGCTCTGCTCTGCAGCCGCAGAGAAAAGGTAGACAATATCCTGGCAAGTATTTTCTTTTTGGTTGCTTTTTGCTGTGCTCTTGCATCACACCACCCTGATAAACAGCTCTTTGGATCAGTCCATCTTTATCCATTTGATGGTCAATATCTGCTTTTTTCCTGGTTAAGGATGATGATTTCTGCATATTAGCCTCGTTTTTCAGAAGTTGTCCATATTTACTGACAGATAACCGCTGCTGAGCGTAGGCCATTAGGATCTTGTATTCTATGCTGCCTCGCTCATCATCTTCCAGTGGTATTTCTTCCATACTGACATCATTTGGTGAAGACATCTTGGTCCCTGCAAGAACATATTTTTAGTTTTAATTTCTTAGGGAACAGTCTGTTTTTCATGAACACCAGCCAGCACTTGATATTTCTACAGCACCTACCACAAAACACCTTATAAACCTCAGCAATGTGAATAATACTGCAGTACCTGGGAGCCAGAGAAGTACTGTTTTCTAGAAACAGAAATACCTCAGGTGGCAATCATGTCTACCAAACAATGCGAAAACAGATCTGCTACATTGCTCTTAACTGCATTTGGTAGCTTAGACAGGAAAGATAAGCAGATTCAAGGATTATTCAATGGTTGGGGTGCAGTACAGGAAATGAGGAAAGCCCATAACAATAACTGACTCTCAGTGTGGAAAAGTAAGTGATACATCAAAGCACTGCAGAGGAAAAGCCAGTACTGTGGCTCAAGTGAGCAAACATCTAATTACATGAGAATCGTGCTTTCAGAGGAAGCTTCGACAGATTCAGGCCCTGAGTGCTTTAGGTGGGAAAACAAAGAACAACTAGCCCAAATGTTAGGAAAAAACACAATATTTACCTATCATCATGTTCTCAACTGTCCTTTCAGTTTAGGGGACCTGAATCAACAATCTTGCATGCAATGGATGGCGTGGTGGCACTGATCTAGTGTAAACTGTTCTTATCTGAACAAACATACCAATCCCACAGCACATACATACGTACTGCCATCTTCCTGTTTCCCTGCACGTTGTAGCTCACCAAGCCACAGTGCGAAATGCGCTTACATTTTAGCTTTGTGCTAGATCCACCTGCCACCTGCCCTCTCTGGCTCCAGAGAAACAAGGGGAGGAAAAGGGAAGGATTAGCTGTAATGCAGCAACTCGAAAAGGTCTCTTCTGCAGAGCCCGGGTGAGGTTTCAGATGTTTGAGCAGGCAGCCCAGACCACTGACAGCAGGCTTCCTGCAACATCTCTGTTCAATGATCCACATAAAGTCAGACAAAACCATGCACATATCCAGAACCTGTCACTGGGGTCTCTTGTGGCTGACAAGCCAAAATACAAGGCTTCTGCTCCCACTGCCCTCTCTTTAGAAAGTATCAGATCTACTCATGCTATGCCTTCAGACTGACAGAAGCAAGTTTAAGCTAATTTCTTCCTGTCTGTAATACTCAGCTATTCACCATATTCCTAATTCACAGCAACGGGGCAGCTGTTCTGTAGGAGGCAGCTTTCTACACAGCCTTGTTCTCAGGCACAGCAATGAGGCATGAAGGGACCTGGGCATCCTGTTTCTTCACAGGTGCTGGGAGGCGAGGCTCAGAGGCAGGGCACTTGCCAGGCTGCACTTTAATCGCAGACCATCTGGCTTCACTGTGCAGAGGTCTGCAGTACTAGCTGCTTCCTTCACACTCCAGAAAACTACACGTTGTCGCGTTACAATCCATCTGTTACCCTAAAACTTTCTTTTTCCTAATTATGAGCATGAAACAAGTCATGTATGTATGTATGAAGTGCTGAATCTTTGTCTGCTGTAAACCATCCTAGTCCCATGAAAATCTACAGGATTATGCTGGCTCACCTTTAGCAGAAGTCTGGCTTTAAACTTCTGATCACCTCTATTTGGAACAGACACCTCACCTCACATGCATCTCATTTTACTACTCAGATATAAAATATACCATTTGTCTTCTGGATAGAGGTGGTGTTAGGACTGACACACTTAAAGGAGGCTAATAAAAATGTTGGAAGTGACTGGTGAGTCAAAAAATATTTCCCTGCCTCAGCAAGTTATGGAAAGAAACAAAGATCATCTGATTCGTCACCTTATGACAATACTACTTTTATTGCAATATTTTAAATTTGTTTAGGTTAAGTTTCACATTTGTAACTTTTTAACTTAAAACAAAAAGTTTTGTGGCACTCTATGCTGCAGAAAGCAACCAATATGACGAAACACAGACAGGCCACTTACTTCCACCATCCTAAATTGCTTTTCTGCTGTTGTTGTTGAGACCACAGAGGGAAAAAAGGGAACATATTTTTAAAAACCCAGCCCTCCTTACCAAATGTATGATCATCAGAAATTAGACCAACTCAAAACCTGTGGCTTACATGACCTCCTAGTTCAGCACTGTCCTTACCAGGAAAGGGAAAGGGGACAAGGAAAGAAAAAGAGAAGGGGGAGGAGAATGGGGAAGGAGAGGAGGAAGAGAAAGGAGAAAAAGAAAGGTCTGATGAGGAAGAAACCTGGAAGTTTCATACTGTAGGTTCAGCACTACAGTTCCACTAACCTTGAAGTGCTAACCTGAAGTGCTTCTATATAGCTCACAGTCTGCATCTCATTATAGGGACTCTATTTTTCCCTCAAGGGAAAGGACAGTTCCAGAAGGAAGCAAGAATGGGAATGGTATGTTATGGAGAAGGGGGGGAAATTGGGAAAATCCCCAGCACATCCATTGGTAGAGAAAGGAAAGATTACTTGTTTATTTCTCTGGGAGCTGCTGTTAAGTCACTCCATGAGTAAGCCAAAATGTCCTTTCTCAGTCGTGCTCAAGTTAAGCTGTGGGCACACTGCCCTTCCAAGCCTTCCGCAGCCTCTCTCAAACACATAGCAACAGCCTCTGCATTTCCTTCCCAGTGCAAGCCGGGGTGTACACTTGATCAGTTTTCTCCTAGCAGTGTGGTAAAATTTAATGTTTAGGCATCTACATTTAACTTCATGCTGCAAAACACCTCACTATGCTTGGATGAGAATTTATCCCAATATTTATCCAAGTCTTCCAACAGCCTCCTGGGCTTCAGCAGCAGCCCTGTCCTGCGAAAGGCCCAATACTGTGCTGAGGCCTCTTGCTCACATGGTCATGCCAAGGTGAGTCTCTTTGCTGGGCACTTCTGGGGCAGTTTGGAGGCCAAGGGAGAGGGAGCAGATTCCCCTTCTCTAACTGATTGCTGTTTTGAGGTACTCAAGGAGTCAGTGGGAGCTTTGTGTCTTCTCACAGCATTTGTGCAGGCAGCTTTAATGAACCTGCAAGGGAAACTGAAAGCCCAGCAGGAAAATGTCGACAAGAGACTGTTACAAGAAACAAACCAAGTGGAGAAAAAGAAGTGGGAGCTAGAAATACAGAGAAAAAGAAAGGAGAAATGAAATTATGCAAGACAGGCACGGGGTTGCTGCTGCTTTGCTTCTGTGTCTAGGGAGTGCTGGTGTGTGTAACACCCTTGGGATGCAGGGCAACAAAAGTAAGACCCTTTCCATGCCCTGTGATTGATGGAGCCCATCTTCCAGTGCAAACCAGAGCAGCTTAATGAGTGTTTTAAGCTGCACTGCACTTCCCAGTGTCTCTTCTAGACAGAAAGCAGGGCTATGGCAAATCCCCTCAGCTAGCCAATGAGCCCAAGAACAGGCACTATCCTTCGCCCTGGAAACCAAACAAAGCATTTATTTCATTTTGAAGTTTGTCCAGAAATAGAGAGAAAATATTAAAGGTTGTGCAATTTTTTCATTATTTAGTAATTTATTCAAACTCATGTTTCTCATTGAAAAGATCTAACATCGCCCTTCAGGTCAAAACAGCATAGCCTTCCCCACCATGGGTACTCTTTATGGATCTAAAATAATTTGTTTAATTCATATATACTCATTTTTCCATAATATAAAAATATAAAGAACAATATAAAAATAGATAAACTATATATATAAAAAACCTATATAGAGTAGTTATATAAAATAATATAAAAATTCATTCCCAAACAGCAAGAGGAATTACCAGTAGCAGCATTAAAAAAACGCTTACAGCCCTATACCCTGGGCTATTACTTATAGGTTGAGAAAAGACTTACCCAAGGTGGATGTACAGATATAAATCAAATAAGAGTTCAAAGGTTGGTCTTCTAAATGAGGCTAAGTGCAGACCGATAGCAGGAGGCAGGGTATTATTACAGCTTGCTAGTAGGTAACATCAAATAAGCACTTGCACATCAGGTGCAGCTGTACGGCTAAGCCTGCACCTCGCTCTGACGGGGAACCTCTGAGAAATGAAACAAATTATGTTGGTAAAAATGTGGTATAGGAGCTTCCTTACTGAGACATTTCTCAACACTGATGTCTCAGTAAGAAATCTCACCCCTGTGTATACAATGAGGCTGGAGGAGCATGAAAAGAGAACAAGGAGTCATGGCTCATTTATGCCATTACTTGCAGGTAGCGAGAAAAGGAGTTATCACCACATGCTGACAAGCATTTATAAATGAGACTGCCAGTAGCTAACTCCTTTTTCAATTTGTTTTAAAGTTTGAAATCTTAATTGGTGACTTATGTCTCTCTTTAGCCTTACTTCTTCATACTATAACCAGGTTATTTTTCCAATATCCCGTCTGGTGCAGGCCAGAGATGAGCCAGGCCTTTTGCAGAAGCAACACTCGCTTTGCATGAACTCTCAGAAATTATTTTCACTAAAGAATGTTTTTTAATACAAACATTGATTTTGTTTGACAAGTACTTGGAAGTCCTGCTAAAACCCAAATCTGCATATTATTTCTTAGGATGATTAAAAGGAACTCAGAGGATCAGATTATGGAGAGTAGCAGCATGGTCTCATTCTGTCTACTTAAAAACTCTGGTCTAAATTATTTATCTTCTGGTGCTTGCAGGCTCTGAGGGAGCAGCTTTATACCCTCCCTTTTTACTCTCCTCCAGACTTTTCCTCCCATTGCCAAATGTCACATCCACATGCCATTTCCCAGAAGATGGAACCTGAACTGTCAATGCTCACAGTGGTACATTTAGCTACGATCCTCCATCCACTTCAAGAATTATGTGCCAGGATGGAGAAATTTGGCAAAAACATAGATGGGTTTCTGTGAGCAGCACAACCAACAAAACTTGCTTTCCTGTGCAGCCTCTGAGAGCCAATACTGGCTAAACTTGCACAAGTCCACTGAAATACCCCCTAAACTTGTAGCACTGTAACACCATCCTGGGCCAATTGCAACGGTAGTCAACTAAAAGCTTGAGAACATCATATAAGGCT